CCCCCCCCCGCGCCTCCCCTTCAAACGGGATCCTCCGGCCGGGCTGGGGTGTCAGCCTGCTGCCATGGCGGCCTGCCCGGCGGACGCCCACGTGCCGCAGGCTCCCGTCACGCAAGGCTGTGGCCGGGCGGCCCAGAGGGGGGCCCGTTTCGGTGCTCCTCACACGTGGGAGGCTTGCAGGAAAACGAGAGAAGAGAGAGGGGATGGGATCTGGAAAGAAAACAGTTTTGGTTGTACCTTAAATAAATGTCATGCTGTACTTGAGAAACTTCAAAGGGCAGTTGGATTTCAAAGCATCTCTTAAGAAGAAGCAGACTGAGAAAACCACCGAGTTGGGAAGAGAAACTTTGCATTGTTGCTAGCGCAATTGCATCTGGTGCTCTGGTAGCCTCTGTACCAGGACTGAGCACCACATTCAAAGGGCGCAGTTTGCTGCCAGATCCCCTCCCAGTGCATTTATGCAACCTGCAGCACTGCAGAATGCAATGTCCCTCTCATATGTCTCAGCAGTGTATCAGAAACCTACTCTATATTAGGCATTTTTTAATTTTGGTGTGTACTGAAAGAGCTCTGTCCTTACTGTCACTCACTGTCTTCTGCAGCACAGCAAGAGGAAACAGACAGTTTTGGTTCATGTCTGTAGGCTTGCTTAACAAAGTTTCTCAGACTGAATGTTTCCTAGTTGTGGTGTTTTGTTTTGTTTTCTTAGCATTCGGGGTAGCATGCATAGCTAATTCTTCCTGCATCTCTGCGATCCAGGAAGAAAGACCCGGTTTTCACTTCCTTTCGAGTAACAGTAACCGCAAGCAAGATGTGTGTTAGTAAAACGGGGTCTCTGAAATTGCAGGCTCGATTCAAGTATTTAGATCTGCCCATTAAAAGAAATAATGTGTCCCTGGGACATCACTGGTCTCATAAGTATTCCTCATAGATAGAATTGAAGCCAATGCACCTGCAGCCTTCTGAGCCTAAATAGCACTGTGCCCTTCTCCCACCTCAGATGAACCCAGGCGTGGTGCCCAGATCAGACACAGCATCCCTCCATTGCCCTTCCTGTGCTGCTGTGGGATGCAGGAAGCCTCAGCACTGGGAGCCATGGGATGGCTGTGGTGCAGCTTGAGCACACCTAAGGTTGTTACAGGCCTTAGCTTGGCAGGTAGTTCTCTGATGATTTTTTGAAGAAAGAAGGCTGTGCTTGTGCAGGAAAGGATGCAGAAACACTTCAGAGAATGTATTCCCATTGGTTTAAAAAGTGGGGTTTTGTGAGAGTCCTGAAATTTCCATCCCTCCTAATGAAAGCATATTCCACAACGAGTATATGTTCTGTTATTTCTGGGGGAAAGGGAAGGCTGCTTTCATGATACTTCCTTACACTTGAAAGTGTCAGGCAGCTTTTCTGTTTTTTACAGTATTACAGTATTGAAGCCAACTGCTTGATAAATGCAAATAGCATTGCCCCTGTCAGAATTGGAGGCTCAGAAGAACTTAGGTTTTACAGTGAGACAATGCGGCTGTTAAAGCCTCAACAGCACCATGTAAGACAGTCCAATACTCCATTAACTCAAACTTATCACCCTTACTATGATTTTGTGACTCCCTGTCCTGCTCCCCCAGTTAATTAGCTATAATTCTAACTCAACTTTATTTTTTCAGTTTCCACTCCTTAATCACATTTACATCAGAAATTGGAGCAAAATCCTCTTAGGTCTTTGATCTGTTCTTCAGGAAAACTGCTTTGGCCATTTTCCTTCTTTTTCTTCCTTCTCCTAGCCTTCCCCCTGTTCCTCTGTCCGGAATATTTCCATAGTGTTGTCTTCTGTAGGACCCAGCATTTCCAGACTTTTGGCTTTTTAATGTTGCCTGTGATAGCACTATGCTCACAATTGCATGACCTTGCAAAACTGTCAGCCCCAGTTCTTGAGTATCTTGTGTTTATCATCCTTATGGTATCAATATACTCATTCATCTTCTTTGGCAGAACAGCTCCATCTTCTGTTTTATTTTGTATTCTGGAAATGCAGGCTAGATAATTTGTGCTTAGAATAAGGTCTCTCATACTCCTGCTTCCTACCCATTCTCTTTGCTGGTTTTGAACCTTGTAGGTGAGCTCTCTATGTTAACTGCTGGCAGTCTGGCCCAAAACGTTGCCTCTGCCATAGAAAGGAGTCCAATGCTCTATAAAGCTAAAACTTTCTTTTTTTTTTTTTTTTTTTTTTTTTTTTAACAGCCAGCAGCATTCATCAGACTGCCTGCAATATCATTATTTTCTTGCCCCGTTCTTGATATATGGGACTCCAAAAGCCAGAAGATTTCCCCTCAGGTCACTGAATCATCGTTAGCTGTTTCTGTTTGTTTTTTTTTTTAATTTTCCACAACTTGCTCCTCCCTGCCTATGGAGACAGTACTCCTTCATTCTCTGTTTTTTGTTTGTTTGTTTGTTGGTTGATTGGTTGGTTGGTTGGTTTTCATCATAGTGGGCTTAATTTTTGCTCAGGAGGCCGGCAACTTTATGGAATATTTCATCCTGGTCACATCTGCCTTGCTGAGCTACCAGTTGTAACCAATACATTCCTTCAGTTCTCCCATTTGAGACTTGGTGCTGACAGGGACACCATGAGGCTGCTCTGCTTTCTTTCCCCTGGTTTTCTGCTTAGTGAGATAACATCTTGCAGTTTTTTTTCTCACCATGCCATATTTGCCTCTCCTCCCTCTTTCATACTGGAGATCTGCAGTGTGCTCTGCCTTTCTCTCTTTGCCCTCCCCAGATGATGTTATACCGCTAGCAGCAGTTTCTTCTGAGCAGTCGCTGCTAGCCAAGCCTTGCTGCCCCAGTGGGTGGGTTAGCAGAGTATTTCCAGTGCAGGGAGGCAGACGGAGAACGACTATTGAGCAAGGCCTCAGGTGCATGAGGGAGACATGCCTGCGTCAGAGGGGCTCCTGCTTCTTGGCCTGGAGGGCGCCATTTGCTTTTGATGGTGCAATAGTTCTCTTTGCAGTTGAGGCCAGCGAGTAGAGTATGTTATGAAACGGATGTGTGTGGCCTAACATAAGGGTAATTCTAGCCGGCAAAATAGCATTAAAATACTTTCCATTTGGAGATGGAATTTATACTAGCCAGACAAGCTGCGGAACAAACATCTCTTGTGCTTTTGCTGCTGTGTTTGTGTGAGCCTGAAGGCTAACAAACAGGCAGGGAGCTCTGGCCTGCTTGGTTAGGTACAATAATAGTTTCCACTAACGATGAAGCTAGAACTGGTGGAATTTTCACAAAGCCAAAATAACAGATCAAAAAAATAAACCTTGGTTTCCTCTCACCCCTCCCTTACTGTCATTTAACCTTTGCAAAGATGGCAAAACACTTTGGAAGTAGCTACAAAAACATCTTTTCTGAGGGAGAAAATTCTGGAAGATACCATTGGAATAGGGGTTGTGCTTTTGAAAATGACTGCCACATGTGCCTAACACTCTGCTGTGACAGCTGTAGGTGTGTTCTTATGGGTAGATGTAGCAGAAGGCTTGGCTAAGCAGCACAAAGAAAATGATCTTTTGCAATTATGAGGGCTGCTCCGAAAGTGATGCCTCCTATTTTGTTATGTTGGTCCATGACATCAGAGGCAGATGTTGGTGGCATGGCAGTAGAAGTTGAACCTTCCCACCAATATCCCATTACATTTTGTTGCCATGTGACAGATGGCAGCACAGGGGCAGTCTGACAGAATGGCTGTTGTACAGCCTTTTGAAAAGGAAGTGACTCCATTTAGGTCATATCCACGTTCACTTGCAATAAATATAATTCAAGCCATTAAAAAATGTAGACTTTTTATTTTTTTCTGTTTGAAATCCTACTAAAAATCTAAGACCTATTGCCATGACTTTTATCTAGATACTCAGGAACGTTAGAGCTTGCTGGCTGTCTTCCCTTTTTACTCTGATTTTATAAAAATGGCTTCTGTTTTTCTCAACCATTTTTGGGATTATTAACCGCCTCTACTGTGGCTGCACCAACTCTCTTCTAGCTGGAATAGACTATATGTACAATATGTTCCACTGCTATGTTTTCTCCTCTCACTCTCTACGGAAAGATAAAAAGCCTTAAAACTGAATCACTACTTACTGCCTGGGACAGTTGTGTTACTGTAATGGGGCAGTAAGCATGGAGTTGACTTCTTATTTTTTACTAAACAAAGGATAACCATACTCCCTAGAGGATGCAAAAACCCAATATGTTAAGTGGCATCAGAGTTCTCAGAAATGCTCTCATTATCCTCAAAAATGAGATTGTATTTCTGGGATTTTTCTGAATTGAATTGAAGACTACAGTCTGAGTATTCAAAGATATTTCAGATCAAGTAGTGTTAACCCACGTGCAGAAAAGCAGCCACCAGGCATTTTGATTCCCATGAAGGTTTTCATTATTATTAGGACATATATGTGATTTCAATCTACACTGAATGATTTTCATGGATTTCATGTAGTAACAGACCTGCAAAAATAAAACTTTAAGAAGGTTCCTGTGAATCTAGCAATCAGACTCATAGAATAGAGAAGGGTATGGTGAGACTGAAAATAATATGGTGCCAAGGAGGTCAGCGCTGAAAACAAGAAATGTATTTCAGTTCCTTGTCTTCTGAGTTACATAAGCCATGACAGCATTTCTTTACATTTTCATAGTACATATTCTTATAAACAAAACAACTTACTAACTATCCTTTGTTTCTTTTCTGTGGGTTTTTGCTATTGCTTTATGTAGAGTACAGTAATGGAAAAAATATGTTCAATAAAAAGTGTGATAGATATTTCATATAAAAAACATCTGGACTGCCGAATGTGTATGTATCTATCTCCCTCACAACAAAAGCAACTTGTCAGTAACTGAGATCCAGACCATGAGGACACTAACTCCCAATTAGTCCAGTGCATGTTAAGTGCCTAAATAAGATTTTTAGTCTAGTGGCCCTAGTCCGTATGATCTCTAAACTCATAATAACTCTTTCCAACAGCCATTCAAGAAAAGCACTTTAAGAAACAAGTTGGTCAGACAATAAAAGAAGATAATGTATCTAACAAGACTGCTGTCCAGGAAGGTGGACTTCTACTAGAGGTGAGTGACAAATGCTGTCGTTTTGGGCTCTAAGTAATTTTTACTGTTTGGTAGACTCTGCGGGTTAATCTCTTGTGGCATTTTGGAACAGACCATCTGTCTTGGAGTGAATCACTGAGGAATCAGTCACGCTTGTGAGAGCTTCTTGCAGGAGTGATGCTGGCAGTCGTGGTTGTCTTGCTCAATATGCTGGGCTTTTGCAGCCTTCCATCTTCTGGGCTGTCCCTCAAGTCTTATGGGCCAGTTCACAGTTCTTAATCACTTGGGGTGAGAGCCAAGATATGTTGTAGTTGGCACACATTTTGAAGGTACCAACAACAGCTTGCCAGGTTTCTGATCCGACCTAAGGTTATTCTGGTATGTTTTAATTTATTCTACTTCCTGAACTCTGTGCTCTGAAGGAAGCAGTGTGTGCAGAAGTTATTCTTTCTATGTACTTGTATCCCCTTTAAGATGACTTTGTATTGGCAGGGTGGTATGATACTGCTACTGAGAACTGGATTCATTAATCGGGATGAAGAATTAATACAGATGTTAACTAGTGAACCAATAGTTCATCACAGATACATCTGCGTTTTAAACATGTGATGTAATTGTGCCTTTTATACACTTAGGATCCTTGGAAATTCCTATTTGATTAAAACTACATATGTATAGTTGTATTGAATAGAATAATATTTATGGAATAAAAATCATGTTTCAGTGACAGCCTTGAGATACACTTAAATGTAAATTAAATAATAACCTTCAGCAAATGGATGCTGTATACTATTAGAGAAAAAAAAAAAAAGAACACCTTTTTAGCATGAGAACCAGTGTGATAACTTGTACAAGTCTATGGAATCAAAACTGGCATACTGCTTTTGTTCCTTCTCATACTTTAGAAGATTTTAATTTTGTATTTCAAAGCAAGTAGCACAGAGGCATTTGGTTAGTTAGCATGAGTGCCAAAATGAGATATTTGGCTGTCAGGTATTTGCAACAGTTTCCACTCTCTGGAGTAGGAAGTACAAGGCAAACAATGAATGATAAATATGGTGAGTATATGATTTTTCATGATGTTCTCCTATCTCTAGACTATGCTTTGTTTGGTATATATTACATACTCACAATTTATAATCACTAAGGATCTTCAAACACATGGAGAGAACACTGACAATAATTTCAAATAGTGCCAAATATTACTGACTATGTTTATGGTCTGATTTCTATAGGGTATATGAATCACACTCTATTTGAATACATGGGAGATTTTTGTCCTAGATCATACTTAATATGGATCACTATCTTGATGATTAAGTGCATGTTAATATGAATGTGTTAGCCAGGACTGTTTGACCTAGAATAAAAGGGTGAGTCTTCCTTAGGACTTGTTGAGAACGTTCTCTGGGGCCTGAGTTTCACTCATCCAGATGCCATGGAATGTGATGAAGAGTGGGTTTGTGTTGTTTCATCAAATTTGCTATGTTAGTTATTGGGGCCTGTGCACTTTTCACTAAGTGGTTGCATTTGTGATTCCTTCCGAAAAGAAGCAAACAGCCTTGCTGGTGGTTGCTATGTTTTATGCACTGACTTGTGAATCTGGCCACTTTACTTGCTCTCAGAAGATGCTTTGCCACTGTCAAATACTGCTTTCTTTTCATGACACCACTTCACACTTTGCAACCTCTCCTTGCATCACCAAAATACATGTGAATAATACTGCTCCTAGTTGAAACAATAATGGAGAAACAGAGATAATTGCATTTTTTTTCCTGGTGTGGAGGATCACGTTTGCTCTACGTATAGGTAGAAATACGGAAGAACGAGAATGCTAATTACTGCTACATAATTTATCTGTGCCTCTCCAGCCTTGGAACAATGCAGTACTTCCCCTTTCAGCTTAAAAGAAAATAATGAAATTAGGCTGTCTTCAAAGTATGTTTAAAATGCTTTTTATTTCTAAAGGCCTGTGCCACAACATGTGTTTTTATTTAAGATTTTATAGAGATATTTTTACAGCTAAAATCAAATAGCTTTCATCAGCAATAATGGAATAAACAATGATACCAGTTTATCAAAGACTTTTTAGTGGAGCACAGCAGGTATCTAAATAAGTAATTTCTTCCAGAGTTTTAAGTTTAAGGATCAGTTCTTCTGAGTAAAAGAGTCTTTTTTGCCATAATTTAGTTTTCATTTGAAAGAAGACAAAGAAAGCCCTAATGACCAAAATCCAATTTTATTAACGGTCTTTTTCAGTATATTCCATTCTTTCAATCTTTGCTCTCCTTGAAGACTTTGGACACCAACAGTTTGACTACAGTAATGATTATTAATTTTGCACTCTTGTAATGTTTTTCAAGACAAGTGGTATTGCAGCCCTTGTTCCACACGCCTTCCTGAAAAAAAGGCTTCATGCCATTTCTGAAGCCCATTACTGAATGTTTAAAGAACATTGGGCCAAACTTGTAACCAGAAAAGTGGGAGAATAAGTTGTATTGGCAGTCAGTAAATCCAGATAGAATTTATAGGGTGCGGTGATGGGGTGGAGAAACTCAGTAAAATTGTTACTTGGAAAAATGAAAATGAATCACCAATAGTTATTTAGGCACTAGCCTTGACTGCAGTACTCATCTTGTGGCTGTTAGCCATCTCATACTCTTCCCCCCAGCTATGCTGCTCTCAAGTCCAGGCTCAGAGTTTAGGCTGTTGTGTAGGTAATATCTCATCCCAAGAACATCTCTAATTTCCACGTATTATGTACTATCCTATCTAAGGAACTAAACACCCACTGTTGAGAGGATGGCCCTCTCTGGGCTTTCTTTCTCCATCATGCAGTCAGGCAGTGGCCTCCTTCTTGCTTAAACATCACCCATCTACTGAGCTGTACCTGATGAAAATGGTTACTTTGCTTTTGTGGACCACCTCAATGCTGCTTCTGCAGCATTCATGTTCTTTATAAAAGTATTTGCTACTGAGGGAGCAATCTTTGTGGTGTTTCCTTCTGCAGCATAGGATTTATGGTGTCTCTGTCTCCAGACATACGGACATAATTCCTTACAGGTGTGAAAATAGTACTTTATGCCCAAAACATCACGAGTATTAAAATGAAATCTGGATGATCTGTCCAGCTCCTAAGTAGATGTTAATGGAATAAGACTGCCTGGGTCTGTCATGCATTATCTCACTGATGAATACTGATAAAGGCCAGAGCTGTCCTGTTTAGCCATTTCCATGTTCACTGGCAAGTCGTGCTCTTTTAGGGAAGGCCCATTTTGATTTCCACTGTGAATCCTCAACTTTTAAGCCTTCTGAGTACAGAAACCAAATTTCAGTGATTTTGTCTCATGTTCTGGTTTATAGCTGTACCAAAGAGGCATCATACTATAATAGTATTTCTTATTCAGTGATACCATACATTTACCCGTGTTGAGCAGAGATTTAGCTATGTATACTTCAGTTACCATTCCCCTGCTAAAAACAAATATTGACATAGGTGAATTTGATTGCTGTTTTGCCTCAAAACCCTAGTGTGGGAGAAGAAATGCAAAGGTCTTTCAGGCATAATCTGAATTTCAACCTGAAAGGGTGATTGCAGGTTTAACATATCTGTGTGCTGAAGAGAAAGAGCCCATAGCCTATATTTCTCTACATAGAGTGATAAAGGCTCCATTACAAAAGCCTGCCTGGCATCCACTGATGCCAAAAATCACCTGCACTTTCAGTTGAACCATCTTCACCTTCCTGCACCCCTCTCCACTGTTCTGGAGCAGCTGGTGGTGAGTAACTATTTTGATTTTTATTCATGTTAGCTTGCTGGGACACTAAGATCAGGAGACCCATGTTGCTGCTGGGTACTCTTAGATGTCATTATGGCTATGAAGGAGACTTCCATTGTTCTGCACGAGCACAAAAAAGACCTCTCTTTGCACCAGTGGCAGAAAAAAAGAAATTATTGACATTTTGTGCATTAACTAACAAAGTCTCTATGGCAAATTGATTTTTCATGTTCTATTGGTATGCTTTTGTTTCAGCACTTGGCAGATGAATTTTGCTAACTTGAGTTGCAATTAACACAACTAGTGGGGCAAATGAGGTGTCTTGCTTTGTAATCAGCACCATTTGTGTTTGCAGTGGGCTGCTGATGCAAAACAGAAAGCATAGTCAGGTGCAGAGCTGCAGTCTTGACCAAAACCAGTGGAAAGCCAGTTGGAGTTTTTATCTAAGTAGAGGATTCAGGATTTAACGCAATGGAATCCTGTTATTTAACAATCTGTAGTTACATCAGAAGTGGCTGCAAATAGTAAGGTTTCTGGGAGTTACTTTCAACAGAGAGGTGTATGTACACATTTGGCACAGAAAGGTACTTCCAGGTGGCCTCTACTGACAGTTTGAACTGGAGTTCAAGTTTCATTCCAAGGGAGTTGGAAAATGATACATTAGAAAACATCCTATTGGTGCTGTTCTTCACCCTGCTTAAGGAAATAACATAGGAAACCTTTTCCCACTTGGTTTCCTGTAATTTTTTTAAACTTGTTAGTGTAATTCCACTTCCTCCTTCCAAACTGATTTATGTAATCAGTACTTGATAAAACTATGCTCTTGAAAAAGGTACACTAGGTTGAATCTCAGTCTGAGAGCAAAAGATTTGACTCTTCCTGTTATTTTTTAATTTAAACTTGAAAAGGAAGATTGGGAGTCAGACAAAAGTGCACGGCTGTTACACAGGGCTGTGACCAAGGCACAGACTTCAGAAGTCGGAAGCTGGTAGAGAGGAACTTTTTGATTTATTCTGCTCTTGAATTCTTTTTCAGCTTTCAACGGCGCTTTCTTTCTCACCACAGTCCTTCTAAAATAAAGCTGTTAGGTTATGATACGCAGCTTCACCTTTTAATTTGCAGGCTTAAAATGCAGCCACCAAAATAGGAAGTTCTCACAAAGCGTTCTTGGTCTTGGTGCATTTTCTTTCTCAGTTAATAAGTTTTACAAGTTACCCAAATAACCCTTTTGCTTTTCTTTGT